TAAAAATTTAAAAACCATGCCTTCATGAAAACAATTACAAACAAATAATTTTAAACTTTCCAATTCATTACACACACGTCTACAACATACAACAAAATTGCAATATTTTGGAAATAAAAATACAAAGTTCACGAACACAAATAAAATCCTTAATATGATACATATAAAATCCGTAACATGAAGAGCCCGAAGGAGGGCATATGATTAGCGGTCAGCTCTTGCGAGAGTTCAACTGATTGTCGCAGTCGAAGCAGTACTCGATAAACTTAAATCGGAAGTATGGTGTCTTCGCAGCATGGAATGCGTTCCTATTTTCAAGCACTCGTAAGAAGCACAATGCAAACAGGTACAGTGGCGAGCCCTCCTCCACATGGCCAAAAGACAGCAGTTCGTTCACGCACTCATCGACCAACATGTCAGCATTCTTATTCGATCTCACAATCGAGGTGAGATCTGTTCCAACACTAATCATATGCTCAAGAGAAGCAGAAACCTCTCTTGCGCCATACTTTTTTTTCTTTCCTTTTTCCTTCCCAGCTTTAAATTTCCTTTTATCCCCACTGTGTCTCTTGGATATATTCATAGAGGAGTGACCTCTATCAACGATGGGGCTGTCATTGGAATCAGCTTTTTCCGCTTTGATCGGGAACTTGTTGCCTCCGTTATTTTGATCACTATCTGTACCCAAATCGAAACCCCGTTGTGACAACTTTGTCGGTGACAACGCATACTTTGTTGAATCCCCAGTGTCACCAAACAATTTACCCTACGTGTCATATATCTCGGAGCAGTCTCTGTTTTTGTACTTCGCATATTTTCGGTTCTCCTGCATGTACGAGTTATCCATCAAAATTGAAACAGAAGATGAAACAGAAAATCATTCAATAGTACCATTCAATAGAATTGTTACCATTCAATAGTTAAAGTGAAGAATACCTTGATTTTAGCTTCCCACCAGTGTCCAGGGGCGACAATTGTACCCGTCCTAGAGTGGTACTCAATACCAGTGCATCTCCATTCGCAGCTTAGTCCAATAGTTTTTTAGCTGCGTGATCGTCCAGTTCTTTCACGCTGGCCTATTGAACAATTCACAGAGACGTTGACATCCTTTAGTCGAAAAGCATTTGCCTCGTCTGTAACCTTCAGCAACAACATTTTCACACGTTGAGATGAAGATTTTGTGCACCGACGGATCCCATTTTACAGACTTCCAGAGCATATTTGGTTGGGAGTCCTGCAGGTGCGAGGACGAATGTTCGAAGTGGTTGGAACCCAAAACTGTATCGCAGCAACGGGAAAAGTTGAAGAATGTCACAATTCAAATAACCAAAATACAAAACTGAGACCCTAGAAACCCTATCCCCACCCCATGAAAAAAAGGATGAATGCAACAGATTGTTAGCATCCCTTATCAACAGATTGAGCTTCCTCCAGCTTATGATTAATGCAGAATTACAAAGAGAATTGGCAGCACCAGCAATTGCAAAAGAAAATGACAGAAGAAACAAATATAAACCAGCAGAAATATTTATAAAACCAGCAAGAAGAACACTGAAGAACAGAGATCAGATTTGGAACATGAAGACTAACTTCCTCAGTCTTTATTCATCAAAAGACTTAACATGATTTAACATGATTTTCTATCAGAAATCATCAAGACTTTACATGATTTTCTTAACCAGAAATCATCGGAAATATTTGCTAGATTTACAAGAGTTTTACCACTCTATCTTATCTCACTTTCTATTTCCCAATTTTGCTCCACAGCTCCCTTTCCAGAGCTCCATTTCTCCATTCTCGAGCCCTTCCTTTCTTTACACCTTATGTAGGTATTTATAGACTCAATTGAGCATCTAACCAGTTATTAACCAACTAACTAACAAAGGCTCCATGTAGTTGAAGTTACAACCGATAGACTAAGGCTCCTAATTAACTTATTTTTATTCCAACAGCTTTTGTAATAGCTAAGGAATCTAAATTCGAATCCAAGGAAACATTGTCTTACAATTGCAATAGACCAAGAGCAACAAAATTGGCCTAAGAAGAAAAGAGGAACATCAAATCGACATGGCTAAGAACCAAGTAGCTAAACAGTAGCAGTAACAACACCCACCTGAAACCCACAACATACTATATTCTAGAAAAGCTTAACTATTAGTAGAGCGTGATTGGCAAATCTTAACCATTTTGAAGATGAGACAGCTTACCGTGCTGTGTTCGGGATAATATTGTCGATGGGGTCCTTCGTCGGCCATCACACAGTTCCTCGCGTCAAGATCTTGTGGTCGTCGATTCCAAATGAAAACAAAAGATCTGTTCTTCCACCAAGTCAGAACGTCGGTGGTACGACGCGATGCAACAAGGAGGAAGTAGGTTTCTGTTGGGAATTTACTTAATCATGCACAACGGAATAAAATAATTTTCAATTCCCAAACGAGGATCTGCAATGTGTTTAGATAGAAACTGTGATGAGAATGATACCTTTGATGAATTTCACAAACTCTTTTGCTTTTTCTTGAACTCCAATGATCACGATCTGCAATCCAAGCTGTCCAATTGTCCAGCCTCCAATGGTGATCCACACAGAGAATAAGAATGACGGCTAGGGTTTTCTTTTCTTATGCTAGCAAGAATAATTAAAAATCCATACTGTTTTCAAACCCTAATAGCCTATTAATATAAGTCCAAATGGGCTCGATCCATCTGTTAAACTTAACCCGGTCCAATATTTAATTAATCAAATTAATTAAATCTGGTCCATGAATTAATTTATCCAATTAATTAATTCGGGCCTATTAATAAACAACCCAATTAATTAATTATCCAACACTTGTCAATTAATTAATTGGTAAATCTCATTCTTCTGATTCTCTTTTGTGTGTGACCCATTAGGTTCCCGATCACGATGCCGAACGACGTGAATTATTATTTTGATCTAATCAAAATCGATAAATTAAAACGCCCCTTTTAATTTATCACTAATTCATTTTCGTTGTCCCAGATTGACATCTAGCAATGTATCAGGGCAATACATGTGACGGGAAATATCACGTAGCATGACAAAACCAAACTTGTTCGTTTACCGTGAAACTATAATCCTTTCGTCAATATGATCCGATCAATTATGAGATATGGATATGTGTCAATCTCAATTATCGATCATATCTTTTATCCCACTGTTAAGTCAATGTACGTCGAAAACTCTTTTCCGACTTATGAGTTCACCTTGGCCAAGGATTTCATTATCAACTTAACTGGATAAAATGTAGATCATAATCTCTTACTATCTAAGAGTGACGAATCCTCTATTGATCATTCACAACCTTCATATGATTCTTGACATACCCGAACGATGCTGTATTAGCGACCCTTGACAGAGCAACATCCAACATCACCAAAGTATGACTGCCCTCATATAAGGTACTATGATGACCTCAAGTCAAAGGACCAATTCCACTACCGAACGTTAGAGATTAACCACTAACACTTAGATAATTATCCATGTGGAATCTCTCAGCGAGTCTCCAATGTTTTGTTCTATAACAAAACATCCACGTGTTCATTCAAGTGTCACCACACTTTAACTTGTGAGATCAGCTACTTACTTCACAAGTAAGAAAGTCACACGCGATAGTCTATCTGTAATAACGATATCCGTATCTCGTTATTACTTCGACTACGGACGATTTAAGATTCAGACTATATGTAATTTGTATCTCACAATCACAACTCCTTGTGATTAACAAATCATCAAAACTTGAATCTACGGATTCTATTATTTAATTTATTAGAATATTAATTCAATTAAATAATAGATATTGCCATATACATGCATTGGTTATATATATTCAAAGTGTTTATGTTCAAAGTTGATTGGACCTAGGGCATAACACTTACAGTTTCGACTGGGTACTGTTTATTTCTCGATTATTCTCGGGTGGAAAGCTCAGCGGTTTCAATTTACCAGTGGAAGGTTCGACTGTGTGTTTTCTGTGTGTTGAAGAAGAGGTGTTTTTTGAAGCTTGGGATGAGATACGCTGTACGCACGTTATGGGTACGTGGAGGGCAAATACGGTATTTGCCAGGCAAAAGCAAAGGGCAAAGTAGTCACCCAACGTTTCCAATGGCATTATGAGGACTGGTTGGAATTCTAACATTGATTGAGGGGATTGCGTTTCTTTGCAGGTTCTACTGTAGCAGAAGTAGAATTGATGCAAAAAATGAAAATCAAACATTAGCTTTATTGTGTGGATGTACCATTGAAAATGAATATAAGAAATAAATTAAATTAAAGGCCACAAAAAGCGTCACTTAATATATTTTTAATCCATTGCATAATATTAAACATTTTTTAATTGTTATTTATTTATTGATGGAGTTAGGTATTATTTTTATTATTATTATATACACTTCGACTAAATCTTTTGTTTTTTCCCCGAAATTATAGCAAGGGGAAACAAAATTTGTCTAGAATGGAGAAAAACATGGTCAAATTTTAAGTGTTTATACCTTTCTTTTGCTTATAAGCATTTATTCTCTAGAACAATACAAAGAAGAATTATTTAATCGTGAGTAGGGAAATATATACATTAAAACAACTAACAATCTGTTTTTAATGTTGTTCAATTCAACGAAGACCTAATCTGCATGGTGTTACCTCACATTTCATTGCTCAAAGTGGCACAAAAATTTCAAAAAGGCACTATAATTTGAGCCTAAATTATCAAAAAAATTCAAAGCACTACAAAAGCTCCTATAATCTAGAGCAAAAATATGAGCAAAATTCAAATATTATATCATTTACTTGAGTTTCTCTCTACAACAGCCAACCATAACATCTGCAAATTAACAAAACGAGCAATTTACAGTTTCCCAAACAAAAAGCTAAATAGCTAAATGTTAGATACTATAAATAATTTAATGAACAGCATACAAAAGATTTGTAATTCTAAGCCACATTAACAAGTCATACACCAAAATTTGCTGCCTCTTTTCTGTTGTCATGAAGCTCGACTGTCCTCATCCCACTTGCTCTTCGGTATCTCCCCAGAATCAGCAATAAGTACTTTTTTTCTAGGCTTCCCACTGTAGGTTCCAGCTCCACCCTCGATGGCATACACAGTATCCATGCCTTCAATGACACTGCCAAAAACGACATGCTCACCGTCCAACCTGTGTAATTATCTTAGTAGTGAGATGAAGTTCAAGATAACATGTTGGGCTAAGCTTAAAAGTTAATTTGTAAATAGTACGAGTTACTGCACCATCAAACCTTACCAGCTGGTCTTCACTGTGGTAATAAAAAATTGTGAACCATTGGAATCAGGTCCCGAATTCACCATGGAAACAACACCTGCAACAATTACGTGTGGCAAAATGAGAGAGATGAGGAGAGAGAGTCATACAGAAAGATTATAAGTTTCCTATACAGCTTCAGTTTTATAGTCCCATCACATGAACCAAGACAAAATAGATAAGTTACAGAAGATCATGCAGACCAGGATGTGAATGCTTCAGCTTGAAATTCTCATCATGAAAGGTGCCTCCGTATATAGACTGATTCCCTCTCCCATCTCTATAGACGATATCTCCACCTTGTACCATGAATCCAGGTATAATACGATGAAATGGTGTTCCCTTGTAGTGGAGAACTACTCCATTAGCATCCTTTCCCATCTCCCCTGATACCACAAAAAGCAAATTACGTGAAGGAGATGAAAGAAAAAAGAGCAGCCTGCATATCTGAAGTGTCTATTAATAATATAGGACACTGAAAGCACCTGTGCACAAAGCCCTGAAGTTCTCTGCAAATAACACAGATAATATAATCAGGAAAAAGATGTAAGGAACCATATAATATGATATGTGGGATATTATATTAGCTAAATATTCCTGCTGAGCATGAAAGGATTTTAGCACAAGGCTGAAGGCATACCCACAGTCTTTGGTACAACTTGACCATATAAACCAATTGTGATTCTTCCTGTAGGCATTCAGAAGAAGATTAAAAACTTGAATGTATGGTGAAAACAATACTACATGCACAATATAAGTCTAGATTATCTCTTATTCACTATGTGATGCCAAGTTTTCTAATTTTCAAATTTCACATGAAAGATAATCAGAAGAATTTGACACCGTGATGAACTTATCAGTTCATAATCCACTTCACAAATAGATAAGCATATATCATAAAAAACAGTATGGAGATATCACAAGCGCAATGGCCGATGGTGAAACTGTTCTACAAAAAATTTCAACCTATGACACCAACAGCCAATTCTAGTCCTGCAAGAGAAGTGGAGAGTTCCTGCCTGGTTCCACATAAGTCCAGCTAGACTCTTTTCCATAACTAAAACCATAGACTAAAGTACTGCTGACCTTACATGGATATCCCAATCCCTCACTTTAGAAAAAGGAAGAAAAAATTATGCACATTTTCCTCTATTCCATCAATTTTTTTCTCCTTTCTTTAGATGTGGCCATTCTTTAGGCTGTCTGAGGTACATTAATAAATCATAAATTTGAAAGTAATGAATACAACCATCCATATTTTGGATATTTGAATATCCTTGGCTACTCATTTTATATAATTTTTAGTCACTCAACCAAAAATCTAGAACTTAACCATAGAAAAATTGGAGTATACTAGTCAAGAAGATGGTTTCAAAGGTACGGGCTTGTTTGATCCCCATTTTTCACAAAAATGCATTTTACAATAATGCTGAGATTGTGCCTTTAAAAAATAAGAAATTTTTTTTATGTTTTTGTGTAATATTATTTTATTGAATAATGTGTGGTTGTAATGTGGTCAAATCACTGTTCAAAAATGTAATTTGATAGAAAAAATAGGGCTCAAACAAGGCCTATATATAGAAACTTCATCGCAATACCACCGTCCTTCTGTGGTAGTGGGCATAAATGAATTGACCAGCCACCAAAATATAACTGAGGTGACAAGGCAGAAAGCAGAATACAATTTGCTTCAGAGACTGCAAATTCAGTCAATATTTAAACCTACAGCTGAAGGTTAACAGATTATATATCCCTTGCTCATTCCAGTAACCATAGAAATTAAATGTTTTAATCCACTTTTAAATGGACAAGACATGAAAAAATGTAGCCTATTTTTCAAGTGGGTGCAGGGTGATCAGATCCATTGCAATATATATCAGCTCAGTTTCAGAAGATATATGATAATAAATAAAAAGGAAAAGGAAAAAAAAAGGATCAAGAACTGGGATGCCTTTGGGTGGCATTTTCAACAGCAACTATGAGGCACAGTTAATCATGAAACAGCTCTAATGGAAAGTGGAGTTAACATTAGCAACAAGTAAGAGATCTTGAGACAAATCGGTTTTCAGGAAATAACATTTTAACTTGAAAAGTTACCAACAAACCTAGAAAAGATTATCTTTGAGGTCAAACACACAACACAATGGGTATGTCATGCACCTGTAGTTATTAAAAGCAAGGAATGCAAAGTGAGGACCGAATAACATATAGACTGGACTAAAATGGTAATTACTACTCCATTTTGGCAAGAACAATTCAATGAAAGTTTAGCATCTTAGTACTTAATAGAGGAAAACTTGTATGAATGAGAAACTAGACCTTAAAACACCTTTCAAATAAACCAAAATTAGTAATAATTTTGGAAGCAATAATAAGGCTCCATTTGATCCCCATTTTTTCCTCATTATAATGAGAAATATGACCGTTATAATGAGGAAAAAATGGGGATCAAATACACGCTAAAATGAAGTTAGCATGCACAATAAAGTGACATTTTAGGATGGCAAAGTAGCAATTTCAATAACTAGAAGACTGTAAAGGGCTCATACCTAGGTGTTGTTTGTCTATGTCAACATCTAAAAATACTTTATTGGTGATTTCCCAAGCCTCTTCCACTTTAGCTTCCTCCTGGAAATTAAGGAAATAAAATATTTTGCTTAAACAAAGGCAAACACTGGAAAGTTTGAAAAGATATTATTTAATTGAAAAAATGATCTATATGAGTGTGGCAATTTATTTGAAAAAACCATGTCTACAAGTTGAAAATCTCTGCACCAAACAAACACTATTCAATTGTAATGCATAAGAATATCGACAACCTTAAGTATTAGATAAAGCTCTATTAGCTTTGTACACAGAACCTTCTGAAAAGCCATTATTGTTAATGCTTTCTGCGCATCCCCAACACTAGGCAGTCATATATTATGAATGGGGGCAGAGAGTACATGTAGAATGATACAGAAAACAGAAGAAAAATATCCGTATGCTTCTCAATTTGGAGTCTATTTGATGCAATTATGTTGTGGCACATTTTTTTGGATCCCTAGGAACAAAAAATATAATCTAATCATGATAACTGGAAAAAAAATTCAGAAAGCTCAAGTGAAAAATCCAAATCCACACAAACATATTAGTGTATTTCTATATCCACGGATGTGTATGTATATGCGTACACATACTATAATACCCCAAAATATTTTGTAGTCGTTAATTATGAAAATTAGGACCCTAGTGCAAGATGATGAAAGTTAGGGAATAGAATATTTTGTAACAACCCGGATCTCTATATTCAAGTCGTTATATCATACGTTCCGTCCGCTTTGGGTGGGCCTATGTCCACTTACCCTCTCACAACTTTCTATCGCGTCCTCAGGATTCGAACCCAAAATCTCTGCCTCATGAGAAACTTAAGTTGAATCCTAGTACCAATTAGGCAATACACATACGCAGAACGAGAGTTGCTCAATCCATGACGAATGATGTTGCAACATAATGCACAGCTAATCCAAAAGTTAAGATTTTGCCTTGATATAAGACTTGACAATTTCTTGTAGAGCATGCGCTTCACAGATTGCAAGATAAATATAGTTTTCCTTTCAAGCCTTACTATTTCACTTTTAGCAAAATCATATCGTTTTATGTACATTGACTTTGGCCATCATGAGAATACGATTGTAGAGGAATCCCTAACCACGACCCACTCATAATTCCAACTCAATCTGTAGATTGATGTTTATGATATTCATGTATTCAATCTTACTATGTCGACTAGAAATCCTCAGGAAATTTCCTTCAAAGATACTACAAATGAACGAAACATCAGGTATTGTTTGATCTCTTCTATTAAGCTTCTTCATGGTAATTATAGAGGACACTAAAGTTATTTATCTATGTAGATATAATAGAATACTCAATCTAACTGTATCAACTAGCAATCCTGAGGCACTTTTATTTCAACAATCCTACGAAGGGAACAAAGCATCCAATCCCATTTGATCTCATCTCTTAAGCTTCTTCATGGTCAATATAGAGGACACTCAAGCTATAGATCTGTACATCCTCATGAAACCTGTGTAACCCCAAGGTCCAAAAGATTTGAGAACTTCACTTTAAATACGGAGTAATAACTTAATTGGCAGCATAATTTCACAAAAAGGAAAAATAGTAGGTATCTCATTGGGTTATGTAATGTGTCACTAAAGCATGACCATTTGCAGCCTGCGTTGCTCAGATACTGCTGTGGAATATATTATTGTTCAGAGTGATCTCTTCTCTCTGGGCAGTTTTTTTAGAAACAGTATTCGCCACATTCGTTTATATATTTTTTGTTGCATGTAGTACGTAATTAATTTTTCGACCTAGTAAGTTTGCTCTAGAAGGCCAGCAACTTCATACTTAATAATACCAACTTACACATGAAATGAATCTTTTAAAATGTTTAACATCATGAAGAAAAGAATGGACACCTGTATGCATTAAATTAGAATTCTTCCCAAACTCGATTTCCTTTCAATACCAAATCCGTTTGCATATTGACAGTCAAGAACAATTAAAAATCTCAATTATTATCTCCTATTTTTGTGATAAGATTGGTGATAAGCTACCTTTTAGTAGCCTTGCAAACACACTTCTAGGAGGGGAATCAACCCAAGGAAATATAGACCAGCACCGGAAAAATTTCCAGTAAAAGTCAAGGCCTATAACTTTTTCAAACTTCCATTAGAAACTATTGAACAGGAACTGAATCCTCTTAATTGTTTCAATTTACTAAATGCAATACAACTTCTAAGAAATATTTTCCACGTATCCGGTAAATTTCCACTGTCAACTTAATTTAAATTTATGCGTTTTAATGGCTAAAATTAAACTTAAACAATTCCTCTTGCTTTTCTTTTCATTTTTTTATTGGGTTCTTGCAACAAAAGAATAAAAATTGAAACTTGTTTTTAGACATTTTAATTTGAAATGATCATAAAAAATCCATCAATATTCCCAATCCACAATTCATTCGCAAATTACATCAAAAGCCCAAATGATAAAGTTTTTCAAATCCTATGGGCAACGTGGTTCAATTGACAGTGAGATCTCTCGACACACTTTTTCTTTCTTCTATTTCTCGGCAAACTTTCAACTATTTCGACTCTTCTCTAATCTCTTCTTCTATCAATCATTGATGAAGAACAACTCCTCTCTCGATATAACTTGACATATACATTTTATTGCATATTCTTGGTACTTGTTATTTTTATGGAAGAGCAAATTAACACATCGTGTCACAACGAACTCTTGTGAGCATGTGAAGTAATTCAACGACAAAATTAATAATTATTTTTCAACCTCCACTGTTATTGTTACATCACCATTTGAGGTGGAGCTATGCAGATAGCTACCTGAGCAAAAGCTCCACATTATCAGTTTGCCAGTTGATCCATAATAGGTACTGGCACTTCACCTCGCACAACAAGAGCATTAAGTAATAGCACGTCATCCAGCATAATAAGTCTTGCTTCACATCGGTACACTCCGTCCCTGAGAATAAAAGGGGCTACGAGGTCACTCAACCATTCATCGGATGTTTTGGTTTGGTCATTAAGATTTGAGGCATCGGCATAGGTGTCTTGCAAGGAAAAATACATAACACGACTTAACCCTGTGGAAAGACAAGGCAAATTCCAATTTGGGAAGCAATATGCAAACAACCGGTTCAACCATCAGAAGATCATAAGCGCAACCAAAAGATCAACTGGCATAGCTCAATTATAAATGCTTTTTGAAACGGTTTAAGCATCAAACTGTAGCAACACTCTGCCTTTCAGCAGCTTGCACGAAACAGGGAAAGATTATGAAATCTACCTAACGATATTTAATTAGGAAAGTTAGCTGGATAGCTGACCCTCTTTTCACCAATTAATGGTGTGCCATGTCACTGGTGCTTAGTTTATACTAAGCACCGGTGCTTAGGAGATCATTTCTATGTGTGTGTGCACACGTGTGTGTGAAAGGTATATTTTGATACTATGGATGACAGCTTTACATATAGTTTTTTGAGAAAGGCAAAGCACGTCAGTTTCAAGGAGGATAAATGTGAAATTTATTAGTACTTAAGACTCCAATGATACAAAATTTGAAATGTATAAATATATATTTATAAATTTAATCATCCCTCACATAATTCAAATTTTTAGAAACAACACAACAAAAACAAATGCTCTAGCAGGATTGAAGATACTGACAAGCATCAATGCTGATCAAGGTGGTATATTCAACACATGAAACAAATCTTAGTTTTATGCTAAGATTTGTGATACCATATCAAGAATGCACTTCAAGGTGGGAAATTAACACATGGAACTGTAGGATAGCACCAGAAGCCTTTTTAGTAAAACTAAAGGCCTAAAACCTTATCAAACTTTAAGCGAAAACTAAAGAGTAAGAACTGAGTCATCTTAACTGTTTCAATTCACTAACTACATGTTTTAAGAAGTATCTTCCAAGTACCCTAGTAAACCTTCCTTTCTCAGCTTCATTTATGTATCTTGATTCCTAAAATCAAAATGAAAATTTCGTTTTTTTCTCTTTCTTCATAATATCCCAAGATTCAGTCAAAATAACTACTGAGTTCTTACCATTGCAAAAAGGGTGGAAAAAATGAAAAATTAAAATGTGATATTTTATTTGAAAATTGCATCAGAAGCCCATCAAAGATTTCCAATCCAACTTATTTGCAAATTACATCAGAAATCCATGAATGATAAAGTTGTCCAAATCATAACAGCACCATCAGATCCGAAAAATAAACAATTCCCAATTCAATTCAAGCATCAACCGAACGAAATATAGCAAATAAATGGGCTAAATACTAAGAAAAACTAACCGGTCGAAAGAAGGATGAACCGAGAAAAAACAGAACTAAAGCGACCAAGAAGATCAAGATGCACCGCGGTTGAATCAACATTGAGATCTCCCGACGCATTTCTTCGTCTTTCTTCTATTACTCCTCAGTCCTCAAACACTTCCATTAATAATTGATGAACAACAAATTCTCTCTATGTATATATATAACTATGTATACAAATATTATACAATTTTTTTTATTTTTTTCTTTTGCAAAATCTTGGTACTTGATATATTTATGGAAGAAAAAACACACACCAGGGAGAGTCAGAGGGAACTCTTCAGAGCATGTAACGTAAATGAATGGAAATAGCAATAATTATTCTCTGACTCCATTGAAAGTGCTTTTTAATTGTGATTTGTTTAATCTGATCAAATCTAGATTTGGGGCCTCCTTAATTTCTCTGTAAATCCGTAACTATTACGCTAAACAGAGTATAAATTGGTGGGTTGAAAATCTTGCGCTTGAACGTTCTAGTTTCCAATTCTGAAGAATGCAACGTTGTTTTCAAGCTATTTGTAATTTTGCAAAATACTAAAAATATATTTTGCCTGACATTTTCAAAAATAAAATTAAACTTATAACGTAAAATTCAAAATATATTTTTTGACATTTTAAGTATTTCCAGTGAAATTTCTAAAAACAATCAAAAATATGAAAATAATTGCTTAATAAAAAAATTAAATTTTAAAAAAATTGAAAAAATAAATTCTGAAATTCTGAAAGAATGAAATTTTAAAAATAAAAACTGAAAAACAAAATTATAAAAATGTCTAGAAAAGTAAAAAATAGTTCAAGCTATAATAATTATTTACATAAAAATCTTAAAAATATATATTTAAATAAACAGAAATAAAATTATTCTTAGTTCATGCCATTAATTTTTATTTTCTATATTTTCAACTCACTTTATTATTTATTTTTCTTTTACCTTTATAGATAGAAAAAAAAAAAGTATATGATTCACAAACATTAAAATGTATATATTACACCAAATAAAATTGTTCTATTTTTATTAAATAATCAAATTTTATGAAATGAATTTTTATGTTGTAAGTAATTTTTTTATTTATAAGTACTTTTTTAATTATAATGTAATTTTTTTGTTTATAAATAAATTTTTTAATTAATGTATTTTTATTTACAAGTTAGTTTTGAACAAAATATGTTGTTTGTAAACAATTATTTTGAAAGAGTAAATTAGAAGATAATATGAGAAATTGACAAATCTCATCGATACCATGGGTTAAAAAAAACTGTCAAATATTACACTGCACCAATTTTAAGCAGTGTTCTAAAAAAGGTAAAGCGTTACGAGACGTAGAGATCAAGCTTCGAGCTAGAAGAACCTAGAAGTAAAAAAAAAATAATGTTTTCTCATTTTAATATTATTTTAAATATTTAAATCAATATAAAATCATTATAATAATTAAAGCATAAAAAAGTGTAAAAAAAGGGTGAGGCATAACGTTTTGCACCCATTTCGCGCCTATTTAGAACACTGATTTTAAGTGATTTTTAAACCATTCAAAATTGATACCGAAAAAATTGACAAACATTGATTATACCAACCGTCATGAAATGGTGTCATTCAAATTCGGTCAAAACCAAAACTCCCAAGAATGCCCTAATGCTGTACACTATTTTTGGGCTTAACGGCATTGGATCTTTCTTACTTAAATCAAATTGGGCTTAATAAGGGCTTATTGGTGATGGACTCATCAAATAATTGGGCCAAGTTTTTGACCTTAACAACTCAACACAGTGAAAATTAAGCCGCGCACCAAATTCTTTAGGCGGGAATAATGCCACAAATCTTTATTTTTAAGATTTCAATTCTAATTGTTACTACTTGTTCAAAAGGCTGGACATTGTCCGATCCGTTTCGGTTTGGTTATCTATTAAAGAGAATCGAATCAAACTCGAATTTTTCGGTATTTAGCAAATGGAATCATCAGGTCTAAATTTAATTATGAAATCATTCGGTTTCTGTTCCATTCGATTCAATTCGGCTTGATTATATTCGATTCTCGGGTTCCGTACAGTAATTATTTTTTTTATACTTACAACAACACTACATTAATTTATTTATGATATGTTCAATCTTAACTCTTACAAAATAACGTACTCCAATTTCGTGATATTTTTTATGTCTATCTTTATTGAGTTTTTCACATATTTAACTGTTAAAATCACAGGAAGAAATAATAGAATGACAAAAAGAGACTATGGTAGAATAAGATATTTGGGCAAAATTTAGGTCAGTTTGATTAAATTGAGCTTGGCTGGAAATTAGAAATAGTAAAATCATATTTTGAGTTTGGACTAAATTAATTAGTTAACAAATTTATTTTAAAAAAATAAAAAAATAGGGAAATTCGGTTCTTATTCGATTTTTCGTTTCTTGTCTAGAATCGAAAACAGAACAAAATTCGTCGGTTCAAGAACCGTTCGGTTCGAATCCGGTTCAGTTCGAGAGTTTTATTTAACTCTACATTTTTATACAACAAACTGATTTTTTTCACTTTTTAATTAGAAAATGACATAAACACTTTCTTATTTGAAAGATTAAATGGTCTATGTTTCTCCATGGTATTAAATATGAAAACACTTTAATAAATAACAGAAATTCAAAAAAGTAGTAAACACGGAAAAAAAAAAAAAAAAGTGAGAAACACCCATCAAAATCTTATAATAAAAGAAGAGGTGGTTGATTTTCTTCTATATGTTGTCTTTTTGTGTGATAGCCAGTAGTAGTTGGTATTGACGCAGTATGAAATAAAAGATCTAGGATTCGACTTATTAACCTTGAAATGAAACTTCTCGATGAAAGTCATTAGTCAAAGTCTTGTATGGAACTGTTTCTTGCTAAAGAAGATTTGATTCTTTGAAATTTTCCTTTGATCTTCCAACTGCATTGAATTTCCAATATATAGATTTCCTTCGCCAAAGCCTACATCCATATCAGGAATCATTCGTGGCTCTTCTAGTTCGTACACACCAATTTCTTCATGCCCGTACAATGCATCTTCTATTGGTGATAAAAGGCTCAACTCCAACATTCACTTCTTGATCTCTGACTTCGTACTAATCTATAATTACACACAAGATTACTTGTGTGTGAGCAGAAATATACCATTGTAAATCCTTGTTGTCGAATACATCAGAATGAGGTATAGTCATATTCAGAACTTTAAATTTCAATTGGTTTTGAAACTTCATTCTCTAAAGATTAAGCTTTTCGAACAGTTTATTAACAAGCTCTTCATATCTAATGTTTCTTTTATTAACAATTGATATTGTTTGATTCCCAAACTACTCTCATTCGTCCTCCATGTCGAAGAATATACGACCGTGAGAGACAATGAATCTCATAAAATCCTTCGTACCTACATGCCATCAACGTAAATAAGATCAGCTAACACATGATGAATACCTAAAACGAACATGCTACCTGCACACAATATTTTAAATGATAAGTGTACTTTATACATTTATTCGAGCCTAAAAACATAGACATTTAGTATCTCTTTTGAGAAATTATAATCTAATTTATTGTATATTTTGTTTATTATATAATATTCAATAATTGGAAGTGGAATTGAAAGAAAAAAAAAGAAAATGATGGAAAGGAGATAAATCTAAAGTTCGAGTACCAAATTGTAAATATTCAATAGTTAATTCGGACCATAAAACGATACTTTTAATATTGTTAGGAGTCAATTTGATGCAATTAGAAGTCAAAAAGGAATGAAATATGGTTAAAGTATTATCACAAATCAATTTTCAATCGCACAAGTTATATTTCATATGTTTAGTCAACAATTGAGGCCCATTTTTTACATAGTAAACATTCAAATTGTAAATATTATATTTCTAGAAAAGTAGTAGCTCTTTGATCTAGCTTTCCAAAAAAATTTAATTCTCCTTAATCGGATATCAAATGAGAAAGTTATGATAAAAGTACTGATGACTGTGCAGGGACAAAAACATGAGCTTGCGAAGGCAACTTTCTTTATTCAATTGAAGCTCTTTTGGAAACAAATTTGGACATGATTTTCAAATAATTTTTGATTCCTATAAATAAACAAAAGAATACATTAGAGACATCACTCATATACATCATATACACCAAAATTCATCAATTAATATCATCAAAGAGAGATCAACCTATTCTTCTTGTGAGAATTAGAGGGCAATTACAAGTTTTCAAAAAATTGGAGTTTCAACCTTGATTTTTGAAGAGACAACAAGAAGATATATTGGAATTCATCAAGAAACTATTGAAGTGATTCAAAATTTCAAGATCCATCTCTTTCTCGTTCATCAATCTAAAATCCTGGCTATATTTTTCCAATTAAATATGTTTTCTTGTGATTTTGTAACAATAGACTAGGGTTTTCATTACTAAGATTGATGAACCCCTATTATGATATTTTAATATAAATTCGATAATTTGACGTCCAATATATCTTTATTCTATGTTGATTGTTATAGGATTTTTCAATCACTTGATCACTAATTGGATTGATTTGTCAATTTTATTGATTTCGAGAGAAATGATAAAATAGATAACGCTTATAACAACCATTGTATGACTTCTATATATGTTCTAACATTTTTAATGCACGCTTTCATATTCGCATCTTTCATAGAGATATAGAAAGGTCACATGAGAAGATAAATTTAATTGATATCGAAAGATGCTCTTAATTAACTTTGTAACATTGATCAACAAAAACATGCACATATTTTAATGTTATTGATTTGCATTGAAACAGATTAATAAGGGGATTTAAAGTCTTAATAACATCACATCAAAATTTACAAAAATTTTATAAGTTACTCACTAGAATCAATGGTTTAATTAGTTAATTTAGCATAAATTCTTGAACACAATTTACTATTCTATTAAATATAACATTAATTGATACTAGATTAAGTATATGGTTATCGTGGGAATGATACTTTATTCATTACTTTATTACTTGTTTGTTATACAGTACACTTACGAGAAATCGTATAGATCAAGTTTTTTGGCGTCATTATCAGGATTATTGTATTTAATTAGTTTTAGT